TCTTTGGGGAAAGTGAGAGCCAGGGAGCCACGCGTCCCCAGGGACCCAGTAACCCCACTCCTGGGAATTCAGTCTAAGGAAAGACCGCATCGGATCCACAACTTCTCAAAGGATGACACGGACGGACAAACTGACAGGGCAGTGGGGAGGAGCCAAGCGCTGAGCTAAGCGCCTGTCACATCCTCTGAGCAGCTGGGGACAGCTGCGGTCACAGACATCCTACAAGCCAGCAGGCTCAGCAGGTGCAGGAGCCCCAGGGCCGAGCAGGGCTGAGCCCAGCTGACCCCAAACCTGCACCAGGACCAGGCCAGGTCTTCTCCCCGGGGTTGTTCTCTGCGGTGGGGCCATCCTGGGTGCTGTGGGGTGCTGAGCAGCACCCCTGGCCTCCACCCACCAGATGCCAATAGCACCCTTCCACTCAACCGTAATATGAAGTTCATGACAATTGAAACTGTCTCCAGGGGTTCCTGGGTGGCACAGTCGGTTAAGTGTTTGTCTCTTGGTTTCCGCTCAGGTCGTGATCTCAGGGTCCTAAGATCAAGCCCCACGTAGGGCTCCGTGCTGAGCATTGAGATTCTGTCTCCCTCTCCCCCTCCCGTTCATGCTCTCTCTCAAATAAATAAATAAATCTTTAAAAGGAAGGAAAGGAAGGGAAGTGAGGGGAAGGGAAGAAGGAAGGAAGGCAGGAAGGGAGGGAGGAAGGAAGGAGTCTCCAGATATCCCCTGGGGACAGAATCACCCCTGAGTGAGAACCCTTGGGCCACCGCCTTCCTACAAGCCTAGAGATGACCTCTGTCACCCCCCCAGGGTCATGCACAACTGAAAACATCTCAAGAGTAAGGCATTACACAACAAGGTAAGGCGTTTGGTCAACACAATGAAATATATGTGTAGTTTAATGAACAGTAAGAGATAAAAGAGCTGAGTGGAAGGAGCGGATTGTGGATGACCTTTTTGTCCTTTACGAAGTTTGTTTCTTTGGTGTCCCTACATTATCCTCTCAAGATGAACCACAAAAAGAAAAAGCCCTGAGTGTGTACTCTTCCATCCTGCCCCAGATGTGGGCTTAGGTGTGGCTGCACTTGCTGACTTCCTTCCACAGAACACAGCACTCATGGCGGGGGGGGGGGGGGGGGGGGGGGGGGGGAGCGGGGAGTAACTTCGGAGACACCCGACAAGGCCACCTCAGTCAGG